TAGATGTCCCCAAAACCTAAAAATTTTTGCACAGTATCCGTTACATCGAATCTTGCGGCACATACGTAGAGTACTAAATATAGACAAAAAAAAAACTAATTACACAGTTGACCGAGAAATCGTGAGACGAATCTTTTAAGTCTAAATAGTTCATAATTGGACAATTTTTGTTAAATACAAACGAAAATGCTATAGTAGCCAAAAACCAAAAATTTTGGGAACTAAACACTAAACACGCCCTTAGTCTCCGTCGGAAACCTGCAGCACATGTAGGACGTGTCCTGTGCCACATGGTTGTTGCGAGGAGCCGCGGACTAGCAATAGCAATAACCACAGCAGGCAATCATGTCGACTGAAACGTGGTCGTACACGCATTCTGTGGCAAGCTAGCCTAGGACTATTCCAACCGTGAGCCACGTACTATTCCAACCGTGAGCCACTGAGCCTTTTACCCAAGGGTAAACACGTCGTCGTAGGCTCGCTCGTAGGTACTCTAGCTAGTCTAGTTCTTGCTTCTTGCTGTCTGTGTTCCAAATTATAATAAATTTTGGTTTTTTTAATGTACTGTCTTTAGTCTTCACTGTACACCTAGATATATACTATTTCTAGATACATAATAAAATAAATATATCTAAAGACAAAACATCTTATAATTTAAGATAGAGGAAGTAGGTTAGGGCAAATATAATAAGAGATTCTTAATAGGCTGAATATTGAGATGGAGAAAAAATAAGAGAAAAGAGAGGTGGACTATAAATTTACAGTCAGCTGAATCACATAACAATAAAATATTGTGAAAGAAAAAAAGTTAGTCATAGATAAACTAAGAGCATTTTTAAGAGCCTTTCTAAATTCTAATATCTAGATTATCATCGGCAGAATCATTTGATTCAAAATCGTTTTATATATCTTTGTACCATCTAACAGTTTTTCTATATCTCATGCGCAATCTAAAAAGTCATCTTTGTTCTCAATTTTTTTTCTAGCGAGAAATCTAGAACAGAGGATATCTATATCTGGATATCCAATCAAAGAGGACGTTGGAGAGAATTTTATTCACCAAAATCTTTATTTCTATAAATTATAAAAGATATGAAGATCCTCTCGGAGATGCTCTGACTGCTAGCTTAAATGAGCTATGAATATCCCAACCAGCTAAAGACTGTAATATTTAGGCCCGGCTCCTCTGAGGGGCTCCTCTTTTTTTGCTCCGGCTCTTCCAAAAATACGCTTGCTCAGGCCTACTCTGGAGGAGTGGAGCCGGAGAGGAGCCTGTCAACAGTCCTAAAGAGATAAATTTAGGCCCCGCTTTTCCCCCTGTGTGCTCCGGCTCAGTGAAAGAGGAAGCCAAGAGAGAAAACAAGCTTCTGATGAATAGTGTGAGAGAGAACGAAGAAAGACATGAACAGCGGTGTCCACACAAAGGCGTGAGCAGCGCAGCAGGAGGGAGCCGGAGCCGCCCGGAGCTGCACCAAGGGGGCCTTAGGCCTCGTTTGGCCGGGCTCCGGGCGGCTCCGGCTCTCGCCACCGAATCACTGCAGCTGCACTGTTCACCGAATCCGTTTTTTTCTCTCTCTCTTATCCTCTCTCACTAACACCACCGAGCTAGAGAAGCTCGTTTTTCTGGCTCCCGTGGCTCCTGTTACAGTGTCGCTACAGTGTATGGTCAGAGCACGCGGGAGCCCGGCCAAACGGGGCCTTAGGCCGTGTTCGGCTGGCCAGCCCACTCATATGGTCACGGTGTTTCCAGAAAGAACAGTATTTTTCTCTCACAACAATCAATCGAAACAGTATTTTAACTTATTTTTCAGTCCAGCCGAACAGACCCTCCTATCACGGGGTGTAACGAAATGCAATCAGCTGGCTACTCGCCTGCTCCAGCCAAAACCTGCATGCAAGTGACCGTCGGTTGCAAGCTGCTTCGCTCGTCCATCCAGTTCCAGCCTCGCTCGACACTCACTCAGCCTCGCTCGGGTCACTGCTGGCTCTGTGTGCTCTACAGGCGGCAACAATATTTTAGGCCGGCAAGCCCAGCCAAAGGCGATTAGGTGAGGCCACGCAAGACGGCAACAGGGAGGGGTACCGTACTGGTACCGCCTCTATCGGTGCAATTTGTCCCCACGGTTGCCGCGTGCAGATTACTATTTGTTGTAGCTGTACCTGTACTATACGCCGAGAGGCCCCCCTGGTGTGTCAAGAGCCGTGCCCCGCCGCGTCTCTGTCCGTGCGTGCGTGTCGCCCGCATGGAGTCCATCTGTTGGTGACGAGGCACGGCCAGGCCGGGAACCGGTGGATCTCTGACCTGCCGCCCCCAGCGCCAGGCTTGCTGTTCTCATGCGCGTGCCGAATTGCTCGTCAAATTTGGGTGCATGCATATACTACAGGCCTTGTTTGGATTGCTTCAAAGTTCCAAATTTTTTCATTCTCTCCATCACATCAATTTTTGGATGTATGTATGGAGCATTAAATATAGGTAAAAAAAATAACTAATTGCACAGTTTAGTTATAAATCGTGAGACGAATCTTTTAAACTTAAATAGTCTATAATTGGATAATTTTTGCCAAATAAACACAAAAATACTACAGTAACCAAAAGCCAAAAATTTTCGGAACTAAACCGGACCTAAATGAGTGTAATCGTAGTACGAAATCTGTCCTGCCTCTGCTCATCAATTTTGGATGTACTAAGTAGCTGGCATAATAGCTAAGCAGCATGCAATGGTACCGAGGATACCGCTAAGACCCCCTGGAACAATTTCTAATCCCATGGAACAATTTCTATCCGGATTGCTAGACTAATTTATATAACTTTTTGATCAGCTGGAAATATTCCGGGTGCCATCCAGGAGAACCGAACGGCCCTAAAAGAGTGACGAACCGGCTCATGGCTTTTTTCCACAAATCAGTGGGCTACGACAGCACTTCACTCGGATGCTATCATTTGCCGACCATCTATCCGACCTCGCTTCTCCGATCCTTTGGCCAGCCGGCACCGGTGCCCGGTCTCGTAGCCGAGAAAACCGGGTGAAACGAGCAACATTCCCCGCAATGTACTGTATGCTTCGGGCGCGGGCGCCGACCAGAGATTCCGATGGCCTCGCTGAGCTGGACTCGCATCGTTGGCTCGCCAAGCAATGGCGTTTTGTTTGGTTTCGACGCCAATGTGTTGCACATGCCCGAACTTCACGCGCCTTTGTGAAGTTGTGTGCTCCAAAACCGCAACCAGACGGCGATTAAATAAATACTAAATAAATAAACAAACAAACACAACGGGATAATGTAGCGGGTCTGTTCGGCTGGTATTAAAGCCGGCGGATAAGTCTAAAGCTGTTTTTGTTGTGAGAGAAAAATACTGTAGAAAAATACTCCAGTATATCTGTGTATGTCTATCCATGATATACATGTATATCTATGTCGGCGTGTACTAGTAGTATAACCTAATCCTACACTAGCAACAACCATCCACTTGCGATGTGTCTATGCTGCAGGACTGGATGTGGCGAGGAAAATTAAGAAGAGAAAGCATGCTGAAAACAACTACTGTACTTACTATATAATACTACTACTTAAATAAATACATACTCCTTCGTTATTAATAAAATATAATGAAAAATACTCGTCGAAATAAAAGAGAGAGACAACAGCGCATATATTGCTTCGTTTCCAGATCTGTCCTACAGTATCTTTTTTATCCGATCCAATGCCAAGACCATCATATCCCTGCGTCTCCGTGCGAAAGGCAGGAGGAGGCACTGCTCCTCTTTCCCTGTTGCTGATAAGTTTAGCATATCTATCTACAGAAGATAAGGCTCTCTCTACCGGAACCTACTGCGGGACCCAACTCTATCTCTAACATAATATTTATAGTCTTTAACAGAGTATTTATATGTAAGATTTATTTTAGTGTAAGAAGAAACATAACCTAAGGTTTATTTATAGAAAATATTGTTTTATTATTTTATTATTGAAGAAGATAAAAATAGGTATTAAATTGGTCAATGTCAGCGCGAGCATGCGCCCAGGGGCTCTGCCCATCAGATTCTGATTGGCCAAGAGAGCCTTTTGCGACCTCGATAGTACATGCATAGTACAGGATACAGCTGCAATCTGTGGACTGTGGATGACTGGGTGTGGGGTGTAGGAATCACGCCATATACATACTCATAGGGGTCTTGTTTCAGCGTGTCACGTAGGAGGTTAGATGAGACCTTGCGATACTACGTGAGACGAATTTATTAAACCTAATTAATTTATTATTAACACATTAGCTACTGTAGCACCACATTGTTAAATCATAAACTAATTAGACTTAAAAGATTTGTCTCGTAAATTAATCGTAAACTGTGTAATTAGTTATTTTTTAGTCTATATTTAATACTCATGTCAAACATTTGATGAGATAGAAATTAAAATTTAGGTAAGGAACTAAACAAGACCCCGTACTCCATACAGATACAGCTGCCATCTCTGTAGATGTAGATGTACTCCATACAGATACAGCTGCCATCTCTGTAGATGTAGATGTACTCCATACAGATACAGCTGCCATCTCTGTAGATGTAGATGTACCCCATACAGATACAGCTGCCATCTCTGTAGATGTAGATGGCAGTGACTAATTGGAACCTGGAAATTCGAAATGTAGTAATATCTCTCGATCTGATGCACGAGCAATTGCACGGCTAACCATGATGTTTAGAATGTTTCTGCTTCTTTCTGTGTCAGATGATCATCATCTAGCCTTCTAGGGCTGTTTTTTTTTCTCCATTAGTAGTATACAGTTGATGAGAAGATTTACATCAAAGCAAAGCAAGAGGATGACGAAATGGGAAATAAACAAACGAACGAACTAAGTGAGATGCTTGCCGAGAACGAGAAGGGACTAAATTCAGCTCGGTGAACGGTGATGCTACCATCTGAGAGTTGAGCGATCGAGCAAAAAACGACTAGCTGCTAACTAGGGAAAGAGAAAGATCGATCGCTCCGTCCGTAGCATTAGTCTACACTAGTGCCAGCTCCACGAGCTGCTTCTTGAACGCCGCCTGCGGGGGCGAGGCCAAGTCCCGGGCTCTCTTGCACCCGGCGGCCATGGCGTCCGCCGGCGCTGAGGCGGTGGCTGGTGCCGTCAGCAGGTCGACGCCGAAGAGACGCACGGCCTTCGCCACCGGCGCCGGAGGCGATGACCCCACGGGGCTTGTCGTCGTCGAGGCGGTGACGACGCTGTTAGGCCGCAGCTTGCAGTCGATGAAGAGCTTGCTGTCGGCGCCGGCGCCGGCCGCGGACGAGCGGTAGAAGCCGACGACGTCGCCGGCCTGGAGGCCCTTCTCCTTGACGAAGCGGCTCCAGCCCTTGGTGAGCACGTAGCTCTGGCTGCTGTTCCAGTAGGAGTAGCGGAACCGCCACACCTTGCCCGCGGCGTCCTCCAGGTTGAGGAGCACGCCCTTGCTCTCGCCGCCGGCGGACGGGAGCTGCAGCGGGAAGTGCTTCTCGGCGTGCTGCTTCGGGATCACCAGCCGGTTCAGCTTGCCCACGTCGCTGGGGGTCACCGTCTTGTCGAAGAGGTGCTCCCGCGCCGTCGCGGGGGAGGGCGACGCGTGGGAGGAATGGTTGTTGTTGTTGTTGATGGCTAGCGACGCGGCGGCGGCGGCGGCGGCTGCGAAGGCGCGCTTATTCTGCGCGAGCTCGTCGAAGTAGGTGTGCTTGCGGAGCATGTCGACGACCTCGGCCTTGGAGCGGGACGCGAGGAACCGGAGCTCGGCGGCGGCGTCCGGGTCGGCGTCCGCGAGCGGGCGGAAGTTGGTGACCGCGTCGCGGCCCCGGAACTGCTGCACCGCGACGTCGTAGGCGCGCGCGGCGTCGGCCTCGCCCGCGAAGGTGCCGAGCCACACGCGCTGGTGCCGCTCGTAGATCTGTGCGCCCCACCGCCCGTTGGGCTGCGGCACCACGCCCTTGTACCTGGACGACGGCAGCTTCCTGCCCACGCCCACTGCGGCGGCGGCACCGGAGGCGGAGCCCGGGGCGGCGGCAGAGCCGGAATCCGCCTCGGCCCCAGGCTCGGCCGCGTCCACGACCGCGCTGGCGCCGCTGCCCATGCGCTCCAGCGGCGGCCCCGAGGCGGCGGCGGCGACGGCCAAAGCCCTTAGCTTGTCCGTGGACGCGCCGCCGCCGCTGCTGGTGTCGTCCACGAGGCTGCTGGCGCTGTCCATTTCAGTGCACCACTGCTAAGCTGTTGCGGGAGATGATGTTGTAGTGTTGTAGGATAGGTGGAGGAGGGAGGGGCGCCGGGGGATATATAGCCTCGGTGGGTGGGTTGGAAACTCACTGGAGACTGGAGAGAGCGCGGCGTAGAAGATGCTCTTTTCTCGGGACTGCCACGCCGTAGGCCGTATAGCCATACCGCTGTACCATGTCTGCGTTTGCGGTGTGCAAATGGTTTGCGCCTTCGCGGCCGTGTCTTGGGCTTGTTTTCTTATGATATTTCCGGTGCTGGGAGATGGACGCAAGTAAGTGCTTGTTTAGTTTTCAAAAAGTTTCCTAAAAAATATTATAGTAGTTATTTCATCGAATCTTGTGATATGTGCATGGAGTATTAAATGTAGATGAAAAAAAACTAATTGTACAGTTTGATTAGAAATTACGAGACAAACGTTTTGAACCTAATTAGTCCATGATTGAACATTAATTATCAAATAAAAACAAAAGTGATACATTAGCCAAATTTTTAAAATTCACGAACTAAACATAGCCTAACAATAAATGCAAACCACTGTACTACCGTACCAGTAGACGAAACGTCATCAACCTTACCCCTTGTGGCCGTGGGTTGCTAGAGTAGTCCAGGTGGTGTTTGGATCTGCGAATAAAGTTTAGAAGATGTCATGTGAACATGTTTTATGAGGTGTTCGGATACTAATAAAAAACTAAATTATAGAATTTGTAAGTAATTTGTGAGACGAATTTATTAAGTCTAATTAATCCGTTATTAACATATGTTTACTATAGCACTATATTGTTAGATCATGAACTAATTAGATTTAAAAAATTCGTCTCGCAAAATAGTTTCAATCTATATATTTAGTTTCATAAATAGTTCATATTTAATATTCTATAAAATATCAATGAGACAATGATTAAACTTTAGGATGTGAAAATGGGTGACTTGGCGTGGGTCAGTGAACTCCCAGTCTCTCACGGTCACGGGGCATGCGCCGCGATCAACCTAAGATACTAGCCCATATGGAAAGGAAATAAAGAAAAGATTTTTCTTGTTGTTGTTCTTGGTGACGATGCGAGAGCAAGGCTGGCTGGCAGCCCACAGGTGCTGGCTGCTTTGCCATGTCATCCCTTTCTATCTTTTGGCCTTTGGCCTTTTGCACTCAAAGATGCGGCATTTTTATAATAAAAAAATACTATTAGACGTCCGGGGTTTTGTGTGTTTCAGATGGGCCGTGTCTCATGTGTGGTGCTGACTTGTTCAATATTACTGTTGTTGTTGTTGGTTGTCATGGATTGGTACAGAGAGACCTCTCTCTAGAAGCTTGCAGTGCTAGAGAGACAGGAGGCCAGGAGGGGGTATATGTATAGCATCAACAGGAAAATTCTTTGATGGGAATGGCATGGAATTAGAAACTAGAAAACCACTTGCATTGGTAACTATCTTGTTGTACAAGTGACAGATGCGTGGAGACATCATCAACCTGGGAGAGTAGTCCAAAACACCGGAGGCTTCCTGCATAGGAACATCACTGTTGCTTCCTGCTATTGAATTTGTAGCCTAGACGGTGACACTTTATTTAGGTTTATTACACATTCCTCAGTCATTTCTGAATCAAGGCTGTTCGCAGAGATGTGAACTAAATACAAAAGAAAAGGTCATGGTTCAATAATCTTCCCGATCTGTACAAATCCAAATACAGTTGTTCCCTAACACTACGTTAAAAACGTTTTTTTAGCAACGGGACGAATTTTCTGTAGGGGCGGCTGATGATAGAGCCGCCCCTACAAATGGTTGCCAAATAAGCCGTCCCTACAAATGAATTTGTAGGAGCGGCCGGTGTTATCAGCCGCCCCTACAAATGGCCTGATTTGTAGGGGCGGCTCAATATCCAGCCACCCCTACAAATTGATTTGTAGGAGCGGCTCAATATTAAAGTGCCTCTACAAATGGACGTCGAATATTAAAAAGTAAGCACTAAAATTCAAATTTTGCAAACAACCTCGGATGAAGAAACAATCAAAATGAAAGTTGTAGATCTCGAAAAGTTATGAAACTTTGTAGCTGACAACTTTTTCAGTTGAAATCATTTACTACTTGAAAATACTGTTTGAAATTATTGTTCCCGTTTTGTCCTCTAATTCGGAGCCAATTCTTAAAACTGGTCTAGTTTTCGCATACGAACTCCGATTTCGACGTTCCATATATCAAAATCGATCAGAAAAAAATTCCGGATCCATCCATCCCCTACAAATCGATTTATAGAGGCGGCCTGGGAACCGCCCCTACAAATCAGTGATTTTTAGCCACCCTTTCATAGGGGCGGCTGGCAAAACCGCTCCTACAGAGAATTACCAGCCGCCCCTAAAAACCTTTTTCTACGTAGTGTAACACTGTATATATTATGCTTATTTCAAAGTTTCCTATTTTTCAAGATATGCATCCCAAAAGGTCTTCTCCCGTAGCTTTTAACAGAACTATTCAAAGGAAGAATAATCGGTCCCACAACTGGGCGCCAGTGCTACAATCAACCAAGTTGAAATAGCACGCATCAACTAAGGCGTGTTTGATTTCCCTTCTAAACTTTAGTCGCTATCCCATCGAATGTTTGGACACATGCATGGAGTATTAAATATAAACTAATTACGAAATTAATTGCACAGTTTACGACTAATTTGCGAGACGAATCTTTTAAGCCTAATCAATCTATGATTTGACAATGTGGTGCTACCGTAAACATGTGGTAATGACAGATTAATTAGGCTTAATAAATTCATCTCGTGGATTACTGACGGATTTTGTAATTTATTTTTTTATTAGTATCCGAACACTCCATGTGACATCATCATGTGACATCTCCTAAATTTTAGTCACTGGATCCAAACACCCCCTAAGTGTACATACAGGTAGATCTATCACCTACAGATCAGTCTAACACTGAGCGTACTTGTCTACGAAAATCTATTCACCCTGCAGCACTACTTCAACAGTACTTTTCAGTGAACGAACAATATTTTACTCTCACAACGAATCAGCGTAATTGCATAAGCAGCGGGAACAAAAATAGCACTACCTTGATGCAGTCCAGGTACAGAGAAGAACCCGGGGTAGAATAATAGAGCAGCAACAAAAAAATAGGTGCTTTTTTCTAGAAAGAAATATTCCATCAATCCATGTTCTTGCACGTGCTAGGAATATTATGAGACATAAGTATTAGTAGGCCAGGGATAACTTTTGGACTCACAAATATTCCAAATTGCTTATATTTGCGCTCTCTCATTTTGTAACAATGTCTATGTAAATGCTCACACATTATATATCATGCTGGTAGAGGTGTGTAATCTAGATGCAGATTTAGAGGTTATTTTATGTTTTTTCATAATAGCATATCTTGGCAATTCTTTACAAACCAAGTATATCCAGCGGTTGTCATTATCATTGATGATTAGAATCTACTAAATCTATGGCCATATCTTTCTAATTTTTGTGAGAATTTTATTTTTGTTAACGTATCTCGTGATGATTTACGTGGATACACCTCTAGGGACCTCCAATTAGTAGTAGTAACTACTAAGATTTGATGAAATAAAGGTATTTAAACATATGTATTTAATAAATAATAATAATAACAAAGGGCTGATGACCACATACTTTCAGACTTTCCATGGCTCCAGCTCCATGCATTTCTTGAGCTAGGGATAATGACCACTAAGATTTTTTGGAGTTGATCTGTGCTATACACACTGCACCCTATATGTTGTGCAACGTAACTTAGAAATGTATCGCTTTCGATGGCCCCTCGCCAGCGTCGTAGATCATCTTTGTAATATTTTCAAAAAACTCCTTTCCTCTTAATAAAAAATGGGCTAAACCCCCCATCGAGAAAAAAAGAAATGTCGAATGTTATATCATGTGAGTTTTAAAAGAAACGATGGCTAAAATTTAATTTTAATTTGTCTCCTTGGTCTATTGTCTAACTATATCTGGTCCCATTTGGTAGTGATAGCTTTTTTGCTCTATCTGGGTTGGAATCCTCCTTAGGTCTTGTTTGGATGTATCTGTATTCACTTCAATCCAGTACATGTGTTGGAGTGGATTGGAATAAAAGTTAGTTCAATTCCACTCCAATCCACTTCATCACATGTGGATTGAGATGAATACATGCGCATCCAAACAAAGCCTTACATGTTCGGAACGAAGCAGCAAAACACACATGAAAAAAACATGAGAGCTTTCAGAGGTTTGGCCGTTGGCTCTACTCTACTTGAAAGGATGGGAAAAGGCTAGGCGTTTCAGATACCCTTTTGCACCTTGTTGGTTGGATGGTTTCCAACCTATATAAATTAATTAACAAAGCTAGCTGTTCCAAGGATAACATTTCCTTGAGCAGCATTGCAGCAGTTGTTGATATATGCATGTCGGCGCGTGCATGCGGCCAATCCGAATTTGGCAACACAGATGGGTGCGCGCTGTGTGCTGTGGGCTGTGTCTGGATAGATAGATCATGTCGCCAGGGCCCCCCCGGTACGTACGCGAGCGAAAACAACGGCGCGCCCGAGAAATCTGGTCAGATTTGTTGCAACTTGCTGTTGCTGCTCGCGAGCTTGCCAGATGCCAGGCCCGGCCGAACGTCAAGTGGATGCCGCCACGAAACAGTAGAGTAATTGCAACGGCGACTCGATCGCTGCAACTTGGCAACTCATCAGTCATCACGCAGGGCCGAGAGATTTCAGAACCGCGACGCGCGTATATAAACAAATAAATTTCTCACAAAAACGCGCGCGAGGACTGTGCGCATGCAATTAATGGGAGGAGGCCGGCCGGGGAAGACCGGGGACCTTTTGTAGTACTGCATGGTTTTGGTGGGAGGCAGCTATGATGGCAATGGTCTGCTGGTGTACGTGCATGTGGTACCGACGTAACCTTGCATTGGGCGAGCTAGAGAGCTAAGAGAGGTAGACACGGAAACAGATGCTCGCTAGGAAATGGGAG